TGTGTGTGTGTGTGTGTGTGTGTGTGTGTGTGTGTGTGTGTGTGTGTGTGTGTTTCTCTGTCCTTTTTATTTTTTTTTAACTTCGTATACAGGAAACCTACTTAACGAGGTGATAAGAGCATCCCCGGTAAGTAGGCCCCAGCGTCGAAGGCTCCATCTATTGGCGGGGAGCTGCACCTGCTGGAAATCGGGTCCAGCGTCCCTGTACAATGATGAAATGTGTATCAGCTGGAAATCGGTTCCAGCGTCCCTATACAGAGATGTGCTGATATCTCCTACTACCTATATATGTTCGTTAGCCAATATATTGTCAGATGATGGGAAAACCCTATCCATCTGATCTACAGTTACTCAAAAACGAACTAAGGCATCATGCCCAATCCTATCTATCACACCAGGAGACGAAACCCTAGCTTTGATATGATGTGTATGAGCTGGAGAATAGAACAATCGGGTCCAGCGTCTCTAAACAAGGATGTGTTGTGTGTCGGCTGGGAATCGGGCCCAGCATCCCTATATCCAGCGTACCAACTATTAATCCTAAGTATGATTTGAGGTGCATGGGCTGGTAGTCAGGCCCAGCGTCCCTATACCCTGATGTGTGCAGATGCCCTACCCTATCCAGCTTATCAACTATGAACCCTAATTATGATGTGATATGCGTGATTTGGTAGTCAGGATCAGCGTCCCTATACCGTGATGTGTGCATATGTCAAAGTGCACATACGATCCAGTGTATATGTAATCGTTCAACTTGAGCAGAGACATTGATTACTTCCCTGCGCACTGACGGGGGGTTTTCTTAAAAAAAAAAAAAAAAAAAAAAAAAAAGGAAGGATTGACCTCGTGCTCATGGAGTACGATCCCAACAAGAAGCTAGTGAATGGCTATGTGATTGCGATGGATCAGACCTCACTCTGATTCGCTATTTCTTCAAGAAGCTAGCGAAAAGTATCTTCATCGATCAGCCAACAAAATGATCAATCAAATCTCAGAATCCTAATCATCATACTTCCTCATGAGGACAGTCGGCACCCCGTCGTTGCAGGCCAATCAACCGCAGTCAACGAGGAGGAGATTCTGTAGCCTATTCCGACCCGGCAGCAGATAGTGAAAAACGAATATATGTAATTATTGAGCAGAGGGAAGGATTACTTCCTTACGCAAGGGAAGGATTAACCTTGTGCTCTTGGAGTATGATCCCGACAAGAAGGTAGCAACAAGCATCTACATCGCTCAACCCATCGAAAAAAAACAATCAAAGCTCATAACCCTAAACCGCAAATGTGCTTATGAGGACAATCGATCCCCCTTCGTTGCGGGCCAATCAAGCGCAGTCAACGAAGGGGAGACCATCTATCCTATTCCTAGCCAGCACCAGACAGCAAAAAACGAATCATCCTGAAAAAGCACCAGAAAGGGAAGGGGGGGAACCGTAGAAATCCCCTTCAACCCTGCGCTCCACCCTGCCTGCCCAAAAAAGCCACCATTTCCCCCCCACTGCAGTGATGGTCGTGATGCTGTTGACACCATCTTTGCCACTGTTGCCATAGCGAACGTTGGCGTTACCCGCGTTGTTGTTGCTTCTTTAGTTTTGTCTGTTGTTGTTGGTATTGCTGTTATTGCGATCGCGCTCGGTGTTGCTGTTGTTGCTGTTGTTGCTGTGGTTGCCCCTATTTTCGCTGTTGTCGTCACCGCCGTCGCCATGAGCCCCAACTCTACCTCCCGCTGACCTTCCGTTGCTATTAGCCGCGAATCCTCCCCCCACTCACCTGCCTCGCCGTCGATGTCGATCTCTGCTGTTGTTGTTGTTGTTGTTGTTGTTGTTGTTGTTGTTGTTGTTGTTATCGTTGTTGTCGATGTTGTTGTTGTTACCGTTGCTGTATTTGCTTCTGCCTTCGCTGTTGCAGTCGCCGCTGCTGCTGCCGCCGTTGCCGTCGTTGCTGCCGTTGCCAATGGCCCCCACTCCAGATCCCACTCACCTGCGTCATCATTGGCATATGCCCTCTCTCCATAAACACAAGCTGGAGATGTATCTGCTTATATTCCTACCAATGTAATCTCCATTACTGACGGACAAATCGTTTTGGAAACAGAACTGTTTTATCGTGGAATCCGACCTGCTATTAATGTAGGATTGTCTGTAAGTCGTGTAGGTTCTGCAGCTCAATTGAAAGCTATGAAACAAGTGTGTGACTGCAGTCTCATCCTCAACCCGATAAGATAGTGCCATCAGGTTAACCCACCACTCTCCTGCCCCCCCCTCATGCTAATCGCTCTCACACACAGCAACATCATGGCACGTCTCACTTTCGGTTTCCCAATTCTCACACACTGCGCAGATAGTTGTATAATAGTTGACCACGTCATCATCATCCTGCCCACCTTCAGCATCCTCTGCAGGCGAGACGTCGTCTTCATTGTCGAAGAGCATATCCTCCAATCGAAGCGCTCCACGTTGTAGCTCCCCCTCCATCTCCATCGCTCACCCAGATAGCTGCGCCCCTCTTGCTATTCGTCATCGTTCTTCACCGCTGGCGCTACCCCTGCCCGCGCGTCGCGGACGTCCACGTCACCTACAGCAGATGCCACGTGTCAATCACCACGAGCTTCTGCCAGACGCGCGCACAGGCCTAGCAGCCTGGGAGCTCACCTCCCCAGGCGCTAGTCGAGCCGGGGGAACCGGTCCTACCGGTCCGCCGACGTCAGGGCACTAGCGCTACCGCAGCCCTGTTCCTGTACCATGTGTTTCTCCGTCCTGCTGCAGATTTCAACATTATCTCAGTAAAAAGAAATAATCCCCTGAATTCTTCGTTTTTTAGTCTTTTTTCCTTTTTTTACCTTTTTTTTTTTTTTTTTTTTTTTTTTTTTTGAGATGCTCCATTCTATTGGTGAGGACCACCTGCCCCCGCTGGAAACCGGGTCCAGTGTCACATAAAAATACAAAGAATACTTGAAGTCCGTTGTCACCGTTGCCTTTGCTCCTACTTCGGGCGGGTTGTTGCTCAATATTTTTATTATTTTCTGATTTCTGGTGCTCTGACAAATCATGGACTGTGTTTCCCTGCATTGCAAGCGTTGTGTTTTGTGTGGTCAGTAGACTCAGTATAGATGATTGTATTCTCATAGATTCTAATCGTTAGGCTAAGTCTTGTTCGTATAGAGTAGTACCGGTCACGGTTGTTTGGGACATGTAATTGTTAATTTGTGGACTGGTGATTCGACAAGTCGGGTTGTGATATTTTTTAATTAGGGTTGGTGTCCATTGTGTTAGTGCTTCTAGGATGATTGCTGATGTGTTACCTTGTTGTTAGTCCGGCGTGGGTATTGGGGATTTCGTTTGCGTTTTTGGTTGGTAGTGGGTAAGTAGGTCGAAACCATTGTGTCCTTCGGGACATCCGTTAAAATTGGAACGATACAGAGAAGGAAGATTAGCATGGCCCCTGCGCAAGGATGACAC